AATTTCTTTCTATTTTTAGTAGAGATGGGGTCTCGCTCTTGCTCAGGCTGGTCTCGAACTCCTGAGCTCAAGCAATCCACCCGCCTCGGTCTCCCAGAGTGCTAGGATTACAGGCATGAGCCACCGCACCCCGCCCAGAGTCTATGTTCTTCACTGACATCAGTTCTGCTCCCGTACTTGAACTATTATACTATTACGTGAACTATTTCTTTTTTTTTTTTTTTAAGAGACAGGGTCTCACTCTGTCACCCAGGATGGAGTACAGTGGTGGCATCATGGCTCACTGTAGCCTCGAACTACTGGGCTCAAGCAATCTTCCTGCCTCAGCCTCCTGAGGCAGCTAGGACTATAGGCATGTACCATGTACACCTGGCTATTTTTTTTTTTTTTTTTTCCGGTAGAGACAGGATCTCACTATGTTGCTCAGGCTGGTTTCAAACTCTTGACCTCAAGCAATGCCCTCACCTCGGTCTCCCAAAGTGCTAGGATTACAGGCGTAAGCTATTGCACCTGGCCAACATGAGCTATTTCTTAAAAGTCTACCCTTTCAGATTTTACCAAGTCCATGCTCTGTGTAAGATAACACTAAGTACATAAAGATTAGTAAAAATTATTTCCTGCCCTCAAGTTTCTTACAGTTTAAAAGGAAATAAAGAAATAAGGATACGAATAAGAAGACAAGTAAGAAATACAAATAGGGGTAATACAAAACAGAATTTAAGTAACTTAGGAAGGGGCAAGAAAAGTTCTTGAGTTTGGAGGAGGGAGACAATATCAAACAAAATTTAGAAGCAACAGAGGAAATGATTAACATGTTTGGCTTTGTAAAACTCCTGTATAGAGAAAAAAAAACTTTTGGATAATTTAAAAAAAAAAAAAAAACACATAAGATAAGGCCAAGTGCAGTAACTCATGGCTATAATCCTAGCACTTTGGGAGGCCATGTGGGAGGATCATGTGAGCCCAGGAGTTTGAGACCAGCCTGGGCAACATAATGCGATCCCAACTACAAAAATAGAAAAATTAGGTGGACATGGTGGTACACCAGTAGTCCTAGCTACTCAGGGGGCTGAGGCAGGAAGATCACTTGAGCCCAGGAATTTGAGGTTACGGCAGGCTATGATGACACCACTGCACTCCAGCGCAGGCAACGGAGCAAGACCTCATCTCAAAACAAACAAAAAAAAGGATATGATACAGATCCAACCTCTGAAGAAGCTTATATTCTAGCCAAAGAAAAATCTTTAAGGAAGAGGTTAATTTAAGATGGACCTTGAATGATGAGTAAGATTTTAAAAGGTTGAGAGGAGGAAGGCAAGAAATAAATATTTATGAGGTTATTTTACATACCTTTCATAATAAACACACAGTGAGTCCAATGAGCATAATCCCCATTGTGAGCTTTTACTTACATCTTGCCCATTTAAGGAAGAAAAAGACAACTTTTGACTGCATTACCTGCATGGCGAGTTGGGCATTTTGCATGAGAGTCAAACAGTATTTGATCCAACATCTTGCTATTTCCCCTTTCCTTTGATGATAAAGTTCTGGTACATCTCCTTCAGCTTCGGAGGCTAAAAGGACACAGGTGATTTTTCTAAGTTAATGATCACATTGTAATTTTCATTTTGTACTATATTCTTTTTTGTATCACTTTTTCCTGATTATAAAAGTAACAGATCCTCACTGACATGGGAGGGGAAAACCCACCCCAAATCCTACTACCTGGAGGCACTCACTATTATTTTTGCATATTTCTTTCTAATTTTTTCTTATGTTTTGTAAGTAAAAATTAAGTTCACACTGTATATTCAATTTTGAATATTGCTTTTTCTTTATATATTATTCCACTAACACTTTACCCATATCACTATCAACTCTTTAGCTTCATTTTTAAGTATAGCAGTATACACAATTAAATAGATATTCCATACTTTAACGGTTTTTCTGATATTGGGAATTTGTTGTTTTCAATTCTTTGCTACTACAAACAACTGTATGTCATGCAATGCACACTTGTAGGGAGCCTGTTGCTAAACCATTCATAGATGGCCTCCTTCTGGGTCAGAGTTTCATACATAGCAAAGCAGCTCCCTTGCTGCAATCTACTGAAAGTCAGCCCTCCACATAAGGGTTTATAAAATTAAAAAAAAAAGAAAGATTAAAAAAGAAAACAGCTAAGTGCACTGGCACATGTCTGTAGTCTC